ACATAGGCAAGGGCGCTGAAATCGCCGGTAGCAGCCACATCAGCTATATATATTCACTTAGGTTTCGAGTTCGAGTTTTATTAAAGATGGTTCCATAAAAATAGTTATCCGATAGATGACTTAATCAATAGAAAAACTAATGACACCATCTGAAAAAATTTGCTGTGGCACAGTTATCTAGACTTTTTGACATGCGATAGATTTTTTCGGAACAAAAAAAAATTAATTTAGACGAAAAATTATGAAAAAATTAATAAAAGAAGAGAAACCGAGTTGAATCGGCGGTTTTTGGCGAAATATCGACGATATGAATCCTTTCTAACTTCTTCAATCATTTAAAGTTGTTTGGATGCTTCTGTATTTCATGGGTTGTCGAAAAGCAGAATTCATCTGTATATCTCATATCTTAGTAGATATATCGATAGTGAGTGAATTTTTCAAGTTATTCTATTGTGTTCGGATCAAGCGAATGATAAATGCAAATCGAAACTAGTTTTTGATAATTTTTCTTGAGATTTGCGCAAGCAACTTTTCTTTTACCTTATATGATTTTGGATTCAAACGAATGAAAACGAGATACGCGAAAGAGCAAAGAATATCATGACAATAGAATTGTTCTGAATAGACTAACTACGATTAGTGACAAGTCGGCGTGGTTTTCTTAAAGTTTTATATTGGAAATAGGATTCGAATTTTTCTTGATATTAATATTCTTGTAGAGCTTGTCGAACTCTATCGTACCATATAAAACTATCTATTAAAAACATGTAGAAAATAATATTTCGCTCGACTTTAATGACTCAAGTGCAAAAAGTTTTTTTGTTTATTCCAAAAATGTAAGATGCATAATGCTTAGTCATCATGAATAAAATGATCATAACTTTTCACAACTATGACACAATTTGAATCATTTTTTGTGCAGATGATAGTCCTGATTATTCTCTACAAAACTGTACATTTCGATGAATTGTCTATATAAGTATTTGTATAGATATCGTCGATTTAAAGGGAGAGTCGAAACTTTTGGAGCACCCTTTAGTTCATAGGATCTTATATGGCTTTATGGTAATTAGTTTTCGTTCTAGAAATCCATTTAGCAAAGACTTGAATGCATCTAACTCATCGTTCAGTAACAACGAAAACAAAATACAAATAATCGCCTTGATCGTATGGATTCGAACAACGTTTCTTGCATGAAAAAATATCAAGTTCAGACTATTAGCGTCATATGGTCGATAAAGCCGATTCTTTGATCTCAATTCCAAGGCGATCAAGTCAATACTACAGATATATTCTGAAAATGATTACTCTATGGACATATGTTACCTGTTGGATGGCATTCTAACGATTGAGCTCCGCCAACTGATACAAGTTGTGACGTTCTCGAAGCACGAATATCTTCAAGAAAGAAAACTTTTGCGTCATCATTAGTCTTCCATTTAGAGAGACTTAATAATTTTTCGATCGATTCAATTCACTCACCTCCTTGTTTTGAAGCATAGATAAGTTGATCCCAATCGATTTCATTATTTTCTACAATTGTTATCTTATTGTCGACGGAGTGAATGAGTTGTTCAAATGTCAACTGTAGTTCATGAATCTTTTGTCGAAGTCGTTGCAAATCTGTCTCAGTTATGTCATATTCTTCTTGATAGTGTCGAATTTCATCAGACAATGTTCGTAACTGTGTGGTCAATATTTCTTTCTCCTGATTAAATGCTTGAATCACCTGTTGACGAGCTGTTTCCGCAGCTTGATGAATTTTGTCAACCATTCCAGTTTCCCATCGATCGATCTGAGAGAAAAGATCAGTATGTTGCCAGTTGGTTTGTTTTTGTTCATTGATTTTATTAAGAAGTTCATAATGAGCGACGACTATTTCATTGTCGAAAACCATTGATAATTCTTCATGATGCTTATTGAAATGTTTGCGACAAAATGAAGTGTGACATCCTCGACAAAAGCACGATGCTCCCCTTTTTTGACATATCGAACATTGATCTGACGTCAATCCGGTTGCCATATCTCTAAATAAAAAAACACTAAGAATATGTTGAATGACTGTTGTATGCCGTTGTTTTACCTTAAAAAAGAACGTCGTCTCGTTTGCAAAGATTCTTTCGTTAATGGCAAACAAACGTCAACATCATCTTTCTTATAATTAAAACAGTAGTTTATTCGCTTTTTGTTTTTTTTGCAACAGAAAGGAAAGAAGTGCTCTTTCCTTTTAATACATCTTACTCTGTTTCTCTTTCTCGACAAGAGTCAATAAACAAAACTACAACTTTATTAAATGGCGATGAAGATAAGAGAAAAAAATCAATGATGGCGCAGAACAAATATGCAACCTTTTTTCAGAAAAAAAATTGAACGCAAATGACTTCATTGAGTGTTAAGTATCGAAAACTACTGGTTTCGAGATGATATCAGTTTCAATATCAAAGAAACTTCCATTGATAAAGAAAAACTGAAGGAGTGAAACTTTTACATAATTATGTGAAACTTTTCTTATAAGGAAATTCTCGAATAAGTTCTTAGCTTAAATCACAAATAAGAAATCAACGTCTTGATCTCTTATACCTCAATGATGAACGAAATAAAAGCACTTGGACAAAATTAACTGCTAAATATTGGATTTTTTGAAAGATTATATAATCGCGACCATAGAGTGTTTATCAGGGTCTGGCTGGGTATGTGGGTGTGGGTCTGTGGGTGGGTATGTGGGTGTGCGTGTACGTGTGGGGTGGGGTGGGGTGTTAATGTAATCATCTCTTTATCTACACCAACACCCCACACCCACACCCTTCTCCACTTAACTGTGCAAGAGCGACAAATGCTCAATCGTTTCAAGGCAGCATCTCATATTAAATGTTATTTCGGTCAATTAGTGCAAAAGACTTGGTTTTTTCCAAGTATTCGATCATCTTTCGTTATTTTAAGGTTTAGAGTTTGGCTTGGTCTCGTTGGACAGATCTCGTCGAAATAAGAAGCCATTCTCTTCAACATTTTTTCATAGAATGCTTCGTTTTAGACTAGTTAACCGTTTTCGGTGGATTTGTCATAGTCAAGTTACGTGTAGATAGATGTGGTAGCAATACATTTTCACCTCTTGTGTCTGCTATGTTTCGTGATTTAGGTGTTTGCGAGAGGGTGTGGGTGTGGTTGTTGGTGTTGGTGTGGGGTGTGGATGTGGGTGTGGGTGTGGGTGTGGGCTGTAAGTGCATTAGAATAAGATACCTGTACCCACACCCACACCCACCCACCCATGCCCACACCCACACCCCACACTCCACACCCGCACCCACACCCCACACCCACACCCTAGTTCATATGAAAATTTTTCGTTGCATGAGATTAGGATAAATAAAAAAAAAGAAAATCTTCATTATGCTTAAAAATAAAAGCGAGTAATTTCTTAAGTTGTAAGAAAACATAAATGAATACTTAATTTATAAATAAAATAAGCGAAGTCAAAGAATAACTTGTAATATGAAGACCTAATCTTGTTTCTTCTGAAAATTTCTACAGAAGTTGTAATGCCACAATTACAAATTTGTAGATAAAGATAAGACTCTTCCATATATTTTCATACAGCGTTCTCAACTTTAAATAACAATATATACTCTATGATAACGAAATAGAGATTATTTATTTTGCTATAAAACAATATTTTTATTTATCAAAAAGAGGTATTAATTTATTCTTTAATTTTTCTTCGTCGTTTAGATAATAAAATTTTTTATTTTGTTTTATTCGTTGTTTATAAATATGAGAAATGAGTTTATTTTTATTGTATAAAATATCCCATTGATGTTCATATACAAAATGATAATAATCAACATTATTTTTCTTAGAACTATAAGTGCTTCAAAAATTGTTAGTCATTCGGTTTATGAACACGTTACTAATTTCGAGCTGTATGTGGCTCGGACTTACCTATGCTCGACTTGTGATCCATGGTCGTGTGTTCAAATCTTGGTTCGAACTTTCGTCGAAAAAATTCCACTCTGTTATTCACAGTATTGAAGTGTTATATCATAGTTTGCTACGATGCGTTGGTCCGAATCCAACACAGAGTGCTCGTTATTTTTCAAATTTTTTTGAGAAAAAAGTTGACGCATCTAGACGCGCTCTGCTCTCTGAACGTGTTCTCACGCTTGAAAATGTTGCATTTTGGACGCTTACAAACGCGTTAAGCTCTATTGCGTTAAACGTTCAGAAACGCGTCTCAAAACCTAAAAATGGTTACATGGGTAGATATTCTTTCAACACCATCTAATTTGCTCATTAATACAGAGATAAATCCATATATATGGCCTAATCAAACAGACGATGATCTTCGTCTATTGGATGGTTTCTTATCACCAACAACACATGGAATATCAAATATTCCTAATCTTTCATTTACAAATCATGATAATTTTTCATCAACGATTAATATAAAAAATCAGCAACAAAATAATAATAATAATTCTACGAACAATGAAAAACAATCAATTGGACCGTTAGGTTCTAATCTGTAAGTATATAGAAAAAATTTATTTTTTAAAATCAAAAAAAAAAGAAAAAATCTACATAAAGTTTCATTTATCATCTTCCATCGGAATTTACTGATCATGATTTAGCACAAACATTTTCTCCATTTGGTAATATTCTATCAGCTAAAGTAATTTAATTATTTAAAAAAAAAAAAACTTTATATATTTTGTTTTTCTCTTCAAAGATCTTTATTGACAAATTAACAAATCGAAGTAAATATTTTGGTTTTGTTTCATATGATAATATCTATTCAGCTCATCAAGCAATAAAACAAATGAATGGTTTTCAAATTGGTTTAAAACGATTAAAGGTTCAATTAAAAAAAACTCGTATACAATAATTTTATATATTTGTTTTTTTTTTTGTTTTGAAAATTCGAATATATCATTAAATATATATGGCAAACTTTTCATTTTATGTTATACATTAAATAATACCGCAAAAAAAAAGAGTTTATTCTTTTAAAAACGATTTGATTTAATAACATCAATTGGTTTACGATAATCATAAATTGATGGTGCTAGAAAATAGTTAAAGACAAAAATTTAAATTATCTTCTTTTTAAATTTTTCTACCTTGTAAAATAATTCCACATGTACCAGCAAAACAAGCTGTTGTAAATATATAAAGAAAAAAACGATCGATTACTAATGCAACATATTTCCATTCTTCTTTAATCTGAATACAAAAACAAAATAATAAAATTTTTTTTCATTTATTAAATTTTTTCTACTTTTTTTTCTTCATCTTCTATTTTTATATGTGTTGCAATACATTTTAAACCATCAAATGCTTTTTTTATTTCATATGGATAAAGTGATGGTTTATTTGAATATTTAGTTTGTTTTATTTTATTAATATTATTATCATTATCATCATCATCATTAATTATTTCAATACCATCTTGATCTATATCATAATCATCAAGTAAACGTATTTTATTTTTTCGTATATTATATGGACTTGTATTACATGATGATAAAATAAAATTTCTTGTTGGTCTTATTGTTGTATGATTTAATTGTTTAATACGATTACGATTTTTTGTTGATAAATGATAATTTAATGGATTAATTGGTTTTGGTCGACGCATCCATAATAATTTTGTTAAAACATGTAGAAAAACTCGTCGTACCCATGCAGGCATTTGATGTGTTGATGGTGAACGAAAATGTATATTAAGTACAATAACAGTTACAACAATAGATAATGTAACAAGAATCATTGTAAATAAAAGATATTTACCAATTAATGGTACAACAAGTGATGTTGGTGGAATGAGTTCAGCTAATAGTAAAAAAAATACAGTTAATGATAGTAATATCATTATACAAAGTGCCATTTTTTCACCAGAATCCGATGGTAAATAAAAAGTTAGAGCAGTTAAAAATGATATACCAACACATGGGATTATTAAATTAACAGTATAAAAAAGTGTTTTACGACGAAGTATTATTAAAAATGTTATATCAGGATATGTTTGAGGACAACATGTATATTTTTGTACATTACGTTTAGCTGGAACTTCCATTATATCCCATTCAACTGAACGATAAAAATCAGTTAAATCAATTGCATATGATACACCTAGAAAGATATTAAAAAAAAGAAAAGTCGAAGAATTTTATTAAATAAAATTATTATTATGTTCGAGAAAATTTTCAATTGTTTTACATTAAAGAAATTAAATAAATGTATTTTTCAAATAAAAATTTCTGAATTAATTTCTATAAATTACAATCATAGATTTTATCTTCATATGAATATTCTTACTATTATTGCCATAAACAGGCATTGAACCATTTGTTTGATTAATATGAACAAGATCAACTTGTTCACCTGAATATGTCCATGAACCGAATTTCATTTGACAATGTTGAATATCTGAATATACAAAAAAATAAATAAATAAATAAAACATAAGAAATCTTTCTAATTTGATCATAAAAAAAGAAAATGTAGATTCATTCTTCAGACATAAAATGATTTTGTTTCAGTCTCATAAGACTCAAAGGTTCTACTCTTGATTCTACATAAATAAGATAAGATTTTCTTGTTATTTAATTTCATTCCCATATGATTATCAGACAAGTATCATTTTCATGTCCGAAAAAATTTCTACTAACCAAATGGAAAAAATTCAACATTGATTGTACAACTCGATTTATATATTGCTGGTGGCTAATATAAAAAAAAAACAAAGATAAATAATTAAAACAAAACAAAAGTTTCCAATATCACCTCCCAAATAACACGACCATCATAATAAACAGTAGCTTTTGTCATTAATGTTACTTCATAATTACCATCAGCACTAAAAGATTTTAATATTACAAATCATTATTATTTTTGACTTTTTTGTTTTAATTTAAATTCTTTTTCAAGCACAATAAAAAAAGATCTCTTTTGTTACATGCAATTGTGCATATAATCGCATGCAATAGAGATAATAATAAAAAACGAAACCAAGGATTACGACGAAAAGAAAATGACACCAACTTATTAAAAAGCACCAAATCTGGTCGCCATAGATCACTAGCCGGAATAGAGATGTTGGTTATATTATTGAAATTTATTGGATCCCATTTTAAATGTTCATCAATCCATAGCTAAAAATGATTAGTTTTTATTAGGTAGTTTTGTTCTTTTCTTTTGTTTTCATATATATATATATATATCATCATAATTAACTATTTTGCAAGTATAGTAACAGAATCTGTCTATTGATGTCAAATCTCTGGACGGATGTGTGTATGTTTTCAACGCTTGCATGTCGTTTGGATAATCTATTCTTGTCAACAATGTTTATCCATATCTATCATAAGCGTTGATGGACAGAACAACAAACTCTCATAGAACGAATGCGTGCAAAAAAAGAAATCCGTCTATCATCTTATACATAAAATATAGCACGCGTGTACCTAAGCGTGCATAAAAATCAAGAGAATGACAAGCAATGAAATAAAAAAAAAACAACAACATAATATATTTTGTTATATTCTCATGTCGACACTTCATTACCATTGTGTCAATTATGATAATAATACTATGTGAATATATGTATAGATATATATGTGTGTATAGAAGGGTTATGTGATAAATAAAATCATAAAAGAAAAAAAACAATAGGAGGTAAAATAATAATAAAAAACATTTTTTTTTCTATACGAAGTGATTGTGTTTTGTAAAAAAAAAAAAAAAAAAAAAAAATAAAAAAGTAAAGAATATAGTGCAACAATACGAATAATAACATCCAATCACAACATAAAGATGATTACTTGTTATACAAAACAATGTCAGGAAGCCAGATTTGTTGGCTCGGAATGTAGAGTACATCGACGCCTCCATATTTGGCTGGATCCCATCGAAGTTTATCGTCGTACCAGTCCTACTCATGCATGCACTCATTTTTTTTCTTTACTTTGGGTTTCTATCTTATATTTATGATACTAATTAATAGTCTTTGTGATCTTACCTGTTTAAGCCAAACATTTGTTGTCATTATTTGATTTTTTTCGTCCTTTAAAGCAAACAAAAAAAAAACCAACAACAATAATTTTCTGTTTTCAATATAAAAAACTCATTATACCACATCAAGTAATTGTGTTAATCGAAGGCCCAAATAAACAGTTAATTTTTCACTATTATGTTTGACGGGACGAATTAGTTTATTATAGGCACGTACTTGAATTAATTCTTCATATAAACGTTTTGCATCGGGATTAGCAATAGTAACTATTTTATATTAATAAGAAACACAATTAATATATATTTTAAAACTTACCACCAATGAAGCACCAATAAATATGGAATATTAATGATATGATAATACTTGTCTCCATGCATCGAGTCGAATTTCTTTTTTTTTTTTTTGTTTTGTCTTACTAATAGGATCTATTCATTTATGGTAAAAATAACAAAATCGAAGGTTTTAATTATTCCTTTTTCTTTCTTTGTTTTGTTTTGTTACTATTGATGATAAACAATTACTATATTCTATCTTATATTACTCTCATTTCTATGTCTTCTGATAATGCGGTAGTGATGATAATTGAGTACCATTGCCGACGCGCGTATATTATATGAGTGAATAAACGCATCACTTTGTTAATTTATGCTTTTCTTCTTTATTCTCTTTTTTTTGGCTATATTGTGTGTGTTTAAGATAACATCTGTTTTGACTTAGATCAGCTTTTTCTCTATCGTTGTTCCAGTTACTTATTCTCTCTCTCCCTCTCTCTTATCGTTCCTTAGAATGATAAGAAAAATCTTTTGTCATTATTGTCTCAATGCCAGAAACATACGCAAAGAATAACAAATATATTGAATCTGTGTTTTTATAAAAAGAAAGACGTTTATCTGTACAGAAGAAAAGATTCTTCCATAGCAGAATATATATATGACTATATCAGAAAAGATATTTTTTATATTGCACTAGTTAACTTCAAAACAAAATCCTATGTATACATATATAAGTAGAGCACGCGTATGTGCATGTCTCTACTAATGGAATAGTCAATATAGATAAAGAACACTTGGTGTAAGAAACAAAAAAAACGAACAAAGAAAAAATATGTTTTTTCCTCATCATTCTGTACTTGATTGAGAAAAAGAAAAAAAAAGCAAGACAAGACAAAAGAGATGACGCGTGCAAATTGGACAATTATATGAAATAATCTTGTTGTATGTTACAGTATATATATATATATTTATATGTACAATATACAAATTGGACTACCCGTTGATATATACAAGGATATATGAACAATCTCACTAGAGATACAAAGATAATTATGTTTTACTCAAAGAAGCTGCAGACGCTGATTGTTGCTATTATCAAAACCAATTAGATTCTTACTGTTACGACTAATGTTTGTCTTTGCCTATTAGGATCATTTGCGTATGTGCACAAGTTTTTTCTACTCACTTACCCTTTTTTCTTGCTAGAGATCTAATGAGAAAATGATGCGTGAGATATTGTTCGATGTATATTGAAATATATATTGCAACCAAATTAGATTCTAACTGTGTGAAATAAAATGTAATAGAATTCTTTTTGTTTCTTCTATTCTCTCTTACTAATTTTCATACTGATCCATAATCGTTTGTATGTGAACTATTGAAGTGAATAAAATATATTCGTTAGCTATTCATACACACTTATCCTATAACGATATTAGAAGCGAGACGAATGAATTTCACTTATTGTCAAACGGAAGAATAGATGCGTAGATGATCGGAATCGATCGAATAAATCGATCTCATTCTTATTTTTATTTGATGCAGTCATAGAATATAACCTGTTGTCTATCTTTAGATTCTTAATAGTTTGAATTAAATCGTTTCTTTTTCTATTTAGCCTCTCTTAAGATATTCAATGATTATTAAGAAACAGATGTTAATATAATTTGTCACAGATGAAGAAATTTTCTTACCTTGAAAACAGTTTTCTTTTTTTTTGTCTGTTCTTTTCCTAATCGATTAGTATGTATACATATATGTGTAGCTTCTATTCAACAAAAAAATCAACTAATACTATCAAATGGCCTCGGGATAAAACTTTCAGGTCTTTCTGCTTGCAGCATCTCCTCTTCTTTCTCTCTTCTCTTCTATGTCTATTGAGGAATGGCAATAGCAGGAAGAGAGGCAGAATAAGAATAACACTGATGACATTATTTCGACTAGAGTCCTTTCTTTTTTTTCTATTCTCGATTTTCTTTGTCTCTATCTCTCTTCTTCAGTCTCTAGCTAAACACGGCTTCTTTTATTCAGTTGTCGTTTCTATATTTTGCTTTTAGAAGTCTAGAATTCATTTATATTCGATTAGAACTTTTTGTATTAATCTTATATATATTTTTTTTTCTAAAAGAAAAACAAAACTTGTACTCATTTGATTTTTACATACAAAATCTTTATTCTTTTGTAGTAATAAATATCGACTATATCTATTTGTCATCATTGTGTCAATGTCGTTCTCATATTGCCTATTATCCATTCTATTCAATATACTAGTCTTGATCAAAGACATTAAGATATTATTTTCAAGATAAATCAACATATAAATTTGATTTTCTTTTTTTTTTGTCTTATATCAAATTTCTAGTTAATAGTTCATGTCATGAAGAACAATTATTTAAAGAATTATTTCAAAACTATAATCCATTAATTCGTCCTGTACGAAATGTTGAAGAAACTATAACTGTATCATTTAGTATAGCTTTATTACAATTAATAAGTGTAGTTGAAAAAGAACAAGTACTTAAAACAAATGTTTGGTTACAAGTAGTACATATGTATAATGAAATGAATTGAATGAAAAACAAAATGTAATATTTATATTTATTCATGTTTTTTTTCTAGGGATGATATGATTATCAAATGCAATGGAAACGAGAAAAATATGGTGGTATTAACTCAATACGTGCACCACCAAGTCAAATTTGGACACCTGATGTGAGTTATTATGAATATTTATTATTAATATTTCACAATAACATAAAATAAAATATTTAGATCGTTTTATTTAATAATGCTGATGGAAAATATGAAGTATCATTTAAATCAAATGTTGTTATTTATCATGATGGTTATGTGAATTGGGTACCGTCAGCTATATATAAATCAAGTTGTTATATTGATGTAAAATTTTTTCCATTTGGTAAAAGCAAAAAAAAAAGAAAAAAGATAATTCATCTTTTATCTTCTTAGATAAACAAGTATGTAAATTACGTTTTGGTTCATGGACATATGATCAACGACAATTCAATTTTACTTATTATGAAGAAAAAATACGACATGTTACAATAAAAGATTATGTTGTTAGCGGTTCATGGGATCTTCTTGATGGTCCTATGACTATTCAACAATCATCATATGCACCACCTACAAATGATGGAAATGATACAAGTAATTCAATGGGAACTATAGCAAATGCTCGATTTGAAAAAACTGATGGACGTGATCGTGTTGGATTTGTTTGTACACTTATAATAAAACGTAAAACACTTTTCTATACAGTCAATTTAATTATACCAACGGTAAATTATTTATTTAAAATCATATGGATTTCTTTTTTTTTGTTTGGGTTCTTATTTCATTTTTATCAGTATTTGTTTTTTATTTACCTACAGATGCGGGTGAAAAAATGACATTATCAATATCAATTTTACTTGCACTTGTTGTGTTTATATTACTTATATCAAAAATTTTACCACCAACATCTATTGTTATACCATTAATAGCTAAATAACTTTTATTTACATTTATTATGAATATAATAACAATATTTTTTACAGTTGTTATTATTAATTATAATTATCGTACACCACGTACACATAAAATGCCTTATTGGATAAGACGTATTTGTATTGATATATTACCACGTATACTTCGTATGGAAAGACCAAAAAAATATGAAATTGATGATAATTTACAATCAGCAGCAGCTGATAGAGAAAAACAAACGATGTTAAATTATATTCAAGCATCACGTGCATTATCAAAGCATCACCAATAATGATGAATAATAATAATCATACAAATTCAAAAAATTATAATGATCAACAATTAGAATTAAAACAACGTCATTCATCAAAAAAGAAACAACATCATCATCATCATTATCGACATACATCAAAACGACGTCATCCACAACAACAGCAACAAGAAAATATTAATCAATCACAACCAACTACTGATGATGATGAAAATAATTTAACAATACAAGAAGTTGATATTTTATTAACAAAAGAAGCATATGAAGCAGCAGAAGATTTAAATTTTACTGCAAATCATATGCAATCAGCTTGTCATTATGAAGGGGTATTTCTCATGAGAGAATGATTAATATACATTGAAATCTCCTTTTTTTTTTCTTTCTCTTTTCATTTTTAGATTCGAGATGACTGGAAATATATTGCATC